AATGAGGTTAACCGAAGAAGAAATTATCCATCCTTGTAATGGCTGAAGCAGAGACCATGACTTAGCAATTGTAAAGAAAGTCTGCCTCAGGTAGTGGCACATTGACAGCAATATACCCAGTCCTTGGTAAATACTTCCACATTAACCCAGAAATATTTGGTGTCGTCTGGATCATGTCTCTCTTATGTTGAATCCGTTATTTCGGGAAACTGAACCGACCATGGTCTTGAAGACTAATGTCAGGCTTATGGTTCCAAATTGTCTGAGAGACTGCACGATGGAAATACTACCACTTTAATCTCTGATTGATTACAAAGTTTAGTGCTTGCTTTATACTCTGACCTGAGCTAGTGCCTGTATGTAGTTGTCAGGCCTTTGATGTAGGCTTTACTAAAGAAACATGTCTACTATTTTCTCCGTGTAGACGCTTAGAGACATTGATTTCTTTTTGAAATCTATGAATAGTGTACTTTCTTAGTTTCTTGTCATCAAAGTGTTTTATCATAGTTAGTGCTTTGTAATGTATGGTGAGATATGTTTTATGAAAAGATGAAATGAGAAGTTTGGTTGAGATCCTTTTGGAGAAAAGAGCCATCAGTTCTGTGATTTACAGCACATTGTCTAACTCATTTTTTGAATCGTGTTTTTCCTGATGCCATCACTCATTCTTCCTGATTATTGAATCAGGATGCTGTGCATAATTAGAGGGACACAAGTTTAGTTCCTTAATCTTTCAATCTGATTTTGCAGATGATTTCCCTGGAAACAGGATTGTTTGGATACACAGGGCTTCTCTTTACTCAGGTCTTTGATTTCTACACGTTTCCAACAGTTTCTGAAATAATACTTCCAAATAAAGATCAATCCAAGATGCAGCCATTTTAATTTCAGTACCTTGCATGGAAAATATTTTTATCAAAACACAGTGAATGCAATCCATTTCCAAGTTTCTATTAACAATTTAAGGAACAAAATGGATTGTGAACTATATCAAATCTTAATGGTGCCATCATGCCAAGGATCAAGACTGCTATGTGTGTTATGTTCAGTCGAGGGGGTTGACTTACAAGAGCCTGTGGCCCTTGTAACATTATGACATATTTTGTTATATCCATACAAGGAAACCTACCTAAAATATCAAGGTTTAAGCATTATGAAAGTAACTTGACCTTCATGTTCTTTTATCCATTCTTGTCACATGATATTCCTAGATATGGTATGATATAATTTAGATTTTTGTTTTTGGAATCAATGCAGCATTGCTGTACCATTACCACAATCTATTTATCTGATGCAAATGTCTTGAGAGAAATTCTCAGACTTATCGGAGTCATGACCGTTCCTTCCTGATTATTGACATAGTGTTCATTGTCAACACCATTAATAGTACCTGACAGAGCCCCAATCAAAATTTCCATTTTGTTTCTTCCCCAGAAAGAAATGTAATAAAGTTTTCTGTCTTTGTCAGCCTTCAATCATGATCCATTGTCCCCGGTCCTGCTTGTGCCATGTGCAGGTGTTTTCAGCCTATCACTTGTCACGTACCCGACAACCGACATATATTAACCGAGCACCAACAGTACAAATTAACTGCAGTGATAAGAGAAGACTGACATATTTTCTGAATACTGTGCAGGAATGCCACAAGGGTGTGTCCGGATTGAACAGTGAACGTGTTTCATGCATCAATATATACCTACATCAGCAGCTAGTCACGACAGTCTCATATACTTCATAAAGCCTTTGATGTCTCCAAATCTCACAGACATTTATAGATCGGGATTTTCAAATCTGGAAAAAGAAGATTCTGCTAATGAAGGGCCTGAAATGTTGTAAGATGGACAGTGGTGAAAGAAATATACTTGAAGTAGATCAAATGACAATAATGACTTGGTCTAACTGTTCCGTGACTATCAGGCGTCCTCGGGGTGCGGCGTTGATCAACTGAATCACTGTAATGAGTCTTGACCTTTACAGACAAGCATATGAGAGTCGAAGTTCATCAATAGCTTGGTGTACTACTAGTCTTTAACCAATATCCTCAATCCACACCATTCTGCTGCAAATGCAATTACAAAAAAAGCACAAAATGGAACCAATTTATTTAATTCCAGGAGACTCTTCAAAGTTCATTTTAACGAGGTAATTGACTTTGTGAAGATTTTTTGGATAATCATTATCTTCCCATCTGTATTGAAGGTATGTGTTCTTGTGGAAGAACACATCCATCATGTTGGGTTGTTTTTATTTTATTTAACGTAATCAGCATGTTTTCAAGATTGACATTTTTAGTTTGATAGCTCACACAAGTTGATAATTCTTAAAAAGGAATTTTGCAAAAAAGTGGCAATATTTTTTAATACATATATAAAATGGGAACAAATTCATCTTGGAAATGAGGTGGTGAGAAAGCGTTCTCACATCCTCTTGAGGTACATGTCTCACCTTTGCTGTCTTTAATAGAGCAGGGTGGTGGGGTAGCCTAATGGTTAAAGCGTTAAATGCCGGAACCAGGTTTGATTCCCACATGTATACAATATGTGAAGCCCATTTCTGGTGTCCCCGTCCCTGATATTGCTGGAATATTGCTAAAAAAACATGTGAAATCCATACTCCCTCAATGCGTGAGTAGACGCAATATGATTGTGAATTTTTTAATAATGTGGACCAAAGTTATAATTATTGGTAACCGCCAGTTGTCTGTGGTCTATGTTTGCTACGATTAGGACCCCATTGCGGGGGGTCGGCTTATGCACGAAACCTACCATTTTGACACTGATTTTAAGGGTCAAGTTTGGGGGTCGTCTTACCTATGGGGTCGGCTTATAGATGGTAATATATGGTAGATTTTCCTGTGGTGAGGAACAGACTTGACAAGGTTGAAAGACAACATTATATTTTGTTCCACGTGATTCAGTATGTAGTATATGATATTCAACTGGAGCTTTGAAAATCAAGATAGACATAAGTAGTTACAGGGGAAGTATTATCAGTCTGATAAGTACATTACAGAAACTATTATCAGGTAGAACAAAGTCAAGAATACAATAATCTTGTGTTTTACTGCAGCGTTGGCCAACACATCAGTAACTAAACTCATTAACAGCAATAGACAAGGTTTATAATAATAATAATAAAGTAAGTGTTTATATAGCACCTTTTCCAACAACTTTGCTTAGAGGCGCTTAGGCAAAGGCACTGTCAAAACAGTGAGTTTTCAAGACACTTTGAATTGTTCAAGGTCTTCAATGTTCTGGATGTTTGGTGGCAAGTTATTCCACAGACACTGTCCTGCTTTAGAAAAAGCTCTGTCACCGAAATTCTTTCTAGCACTCGTGAGGAGTTGGGTCTCAGTGCTCTTCTGGGGTTGTAAAGTGAGATCAAGTCACTGATATATACTGGTGCCAGAAGGTGGAGAGAGTTGAACACAAAGATGAGAATCTTAAGCATGATTCTGTATCTGATGGGAAGCCAGTGGAGAGTTTATAGCATCACGGAAGATTTACTGGCATGTTTAATGTGGTCAACAAGGTAGAGCTGAGACTCCTTGGAGTGGAGAGACAAGACACACAGATTGCCGGGATTACGGTTCAAGTTGATGATGTGGCATCATGGGAAACACTGAGCATATTTTGATCACTTTGTCGTATTTAGTAGAAATACATTGAAGGCAAGGCAGCATCTCTGTTTTCAATTCAACAAAAAACATTCACAGAAATGTGACAAAATTGGGAAAAAATAGTTTGCATTGGCCCTTCAAGACTCACTACAGCTGCATCTCAGTTTATCTATTTCCTGATAAGCATTAATTTCAGCTTTATAACAGGTGCAAATAGCAGCAATTGTCTGGACCTGCGCAAGCATTTTTGTTCTTATAAGAAACAGTACAGGCCTGTTTGAACCTTCTGACTATTGAAACACTGTAAGTGGGCATAGAATATATTTAGCTCCACTTGTTTGTTTCACACACCTGTGTATTTGTTTAGGTCGTGTTTGTATGTAATCTGTATCAGATCATGAAGTGATGGCTCTTAGTCATCCTTGTCTTGTTTCTTTTTGTGTTTAAGGATGATTTTATCTCCCTTGGGTCATGATGAGATTGGTTGTGTGTTTTGATGTTGAAAATATGATGGGCTTCTTCCAGAAGCTAGTAGTAAGCTCTTAGGCCGAGTATAAAGTCAGCCGCTATGTGAATGTTAACGTCAGATTTGAAAAGACATCCCTCAGGATCTTGATGAAGGCCACAGTACCTTCTGCTTCAGGTTTGATAAGCCTTTAAGTACTCCTGGATGTCTTAAGGTCTGCGTTCACAACAAACATTTTAATTTCTTTATCTCTTTAAATGGACACTTTATCGTCAGAGGATTTGAGTTGAGATTCAAATTGTGACTTCCTTCAAGATTAGGTCTTGCACATCTCCTGTTCTGATCCTTACTGTTAGTCCACATCTGCTTTAATTGCCATCTTAGGTCCGGAATCATTTGTCTCTGTTGCTTTGTTCAGCTGACACGTACTTGGTAAAGCTGTAGTTAAGACAACAACAGTGCATCTGTTTCTTGTACAGTGGGTAGGTTGAAATATGGTTTTCTTAAAATTGGCCTGGGTTGCCTGGTGTACATTTCCAGAAGTTTCTGTGTTTTAGTTTCAGCATAATTATTTAGGTTAATAATTCTTAGATTTGAAAATGTATGTGAATTGAGAAATATGTGTTTATGTGAATCGTTTGGTGCAGGATAGTCAAAACACCAAGCCTTTCTTACTCAATTCAGTGTGCAATGTGAACGGAATTTTGTTATGGAAAACTACACACCAAGAGAAGTTTTGTGACCTTGATGTTTCAACAGTAAACATCCGAGTTTTGTTAGTTTGTGTTGACCAGGAATTCCTGACAATGAACTAGGGCATGGGAGACTGCAGACTCTGGACATAGATGTCAACACTGTTTACATATTCTGATGGTAATGCTAGACAAATGTCTTATTGTTGAATCTCTTCTGCAGATGCTGTAGTGAAGAAGGCCAAGAAGAGGACAGCTCAGGAGGTGGGTGGGCTAGAGGAAGAAGACGAGGAAGAGGGTGCAGCAACAGTACCAAAGGAAGAACAAGAAGCTGGGGAGGAGGCAGCTGAGACACATACAGACGCGAGACGGCGACGACGAGATGCTGGGGAAGAAAAGGGCGTTCCCCACTCATGGGGCAAATGGACACATGGTTAAGGCAAAGAAACGAAAAATGCATGGACCTCCCACACCTAAAAATGCCTTGATGCAGCTGAATGAACTAAAACCAGGACTGACATTCCAGTTTGTGTCTCAGACTGGTCCTGTGCATGCCCCGGTGTTCACGATGTCCGTCGAGGTGAACGGCCAGGTGTTTGATGGAGCAGGGACCACAAAGAAAAAGGCCAAACTGTTGGCAGCCGAGAAAGCTTTGGGATCATTTGTGCAGTTTCCTAATGCTTCTGAGGCACATCAAGCTATGGGGAGGCAGATCACCAACGCAGACTTCACGTCAGACAGTGCGGACGTTGATGTCAATTTGTTTAACAACTTTGAAGGTGAGAAGGGCAAAGTGATTGAGACCATAGAGACAGCACCTGCTGCTGTCCAGAATGGCTCCAGTCATCCTCCTGGACGGAAGGCAGCTGTTCCTTCTCAACCTACTGGAAAGAATCCTGTGATGATTCTGAATGAACTCCGACCAGGCCTGAAGTATGACTTTGTATCCGAGACAGGCGAGAGTCACTCCAAGTGTTTTGTGATGTCAGTGACTGTAGACAGTGAAACATTTCAAGGATCTGGACGCAACAAGAAACTGGCAAAGGCTCGGGCAGCACAAGCCGCACTGACCAAAATCTTCAACCTTGAGTTCAGCCATGCTCCTGGTAGGTACATTTTTGTCTTTTTTGATGTACTGTGTTAAATGTGACTATCTGTTTGTCTAAATGCCATCTTGAAAGAAGACAACATCCTAGTGAACCTGTACAAAGGCATCTTGTAATAATGTCCTGCTATTTGATTTGCTATAAATAGAATATGGCCAAGGTCAAGGTCAAGGTTGTCAATTGTGACATAGGTCTGACTGCATTGTGGAAATCTATGTAAACTCATTATGGCAGTAAGATGTACATGTCTCGGAAAGAACTATGACCTGCACAGACACGTGCCATTGATTCCGTGTGTTATGGGGTTATGCAAGAAATTTGGTTAGCCTGCAGTACACTATCGACAAATCATGAGTCCAGAAGGCCTTAGGTCCCAAAGTACTGATTCCATTTATGTGATCTGTGTCTCATGTTGAGGGTAAATCTTGAAATGTATGTATAGTCATATAGATGTATATGCAGTGAGTATTGTTGAATTTGTCCTGAATTGACCTTGACCTTGTTACGCCCCTTCCCTTTTGTAGTGTTGCGACCCATCATTGTCGATATATACCCTCATGCCATTTGTATTGCATTACAAGCACATGTACATTATTGTTTACTTTAATTTAAAATTGTGTGTGACCGTCACTGTGACGTCATCAGCAAGTGAGACGAACTCAATGATATTTAGAGTTACCATAGATCACTTATACTGATTTGAAGTGAGCTGTTGACAGAATGGATACATATGTCATAAATGCCATGCTTTGACTCGTTAAAGTGTCATATTTTGTTTGCTTTGACTGTTATATGTCCACATAATGTTTTTACAATGGAAATACCAAGACAACATGAAGCATTAATGGTGTCTGGTCAAATTATTCCACAAATGAAAATTATCCAGTCTTTGTAATTATTTTTTTAAATGTATGGGAAAAGGTGCAACTACAAAGATATGAGATTGGAATAAAATATTCCTATATACAAATTAATTGTTTCAGACATGATTTCCAAATCATTCCAAAAATGCTTTGAAGTTATTTGATTGGGTATTTTTTTAACGGAATCACCAGTAGATTTGGAGATAATGTTTGTACAGCTAATTTCTATTTTGGGCTAGGTTTATGAGACAATATACGTGGCAATCATGCCTAACAGCACAGAAGTACAATTTAGATGGTAAATCATCATGGCCAGTGATTCTTTATCTCAGATTTTACATTTTTGTTGACCAAGTTGTAAATAACCTGTTTGTTCAAATGAATTCACTGATGGGATACCATGTAGGTTTTTACTGCACATTAGAGATACTAAAGTGTTGTTGTTTTTTTAAGTTGTCAATCTCCTAGAAGACTGTGTGCATGTTGCTTTGCTGTACACAATACTGAATATAATCGTGTGTAACTCAAAGCCAAAGAGGTATTTGAACATTATTAATTCTTGAAGTCTTAAATTATTATTACAAGGAAAATAATGCTATGAATACACAATTAGAAAGAGGTCAAATGGAACATAGGTTATATTTGGGATAACACTTTCTCAGTATAGTACCGATTCCAGTACTTTTGTTAGGTTGAGTCCAATCCGTGGTTGAGTCCCATTTGGCTTTCTAACCCACTATTTTAGGCGCCTGAACGTCAGCATACTAAGTCAGCAGTCTAACCCACTCGGCCACTGCAGATACCATAGAAATGGAAGTCAGACAACTGGTAGTCTAGATCGATACTTTGTGTACCCAGAATTGTACCCTGTTGTCATTATGAAACTTGAACATGAATATGAGAATTGTTTGAATAGATATTAATGGTATCTAAAAAAAAATTAAAATCAAGACATAAATCTGATGGAAGAAATTGTACGTAACCAGTGGCAGCATGATGCGTAGTTTCCACTGAAGGCCAATTTGACTTCAACCAGAGCACAACTGCGTCTCAAGTACCATCTGTTTAGAGAAAACAATTGCTTTTTTGGCACAGAGTTTAACAACTGTTAAGCTTTTTCCACACTGGAACGCAAACTTGATATTCTGATGAAATATGTCTCTCAGAAGGCAGACAGGTTTACGAGCAAGTCCAAATTGAAGATATTCTGTTGCCTCATGGGAAGCATAATGTTGTGTGAGAGTTCCCCGTTTGGGGGGTTGTGAATACCGTTATTGACAACTTTGGTAATCAGGTATGATGGACGTATAGACCAGACTCGGCATAGCTGCACCAATAGCCATAAGAAGAGATTGAAATTACGGATGTTCCGCGCTGACCATCTGGCCTTTGTGGTTTACATCAGCTTCCTGATGGGGAAGATGTAGATAGATGTTGTGCAGTCGCTATTGGTATTTGATTGTCGCTCAGCTGCCCAATCTTGCACATTGCAGTCATAATCCTGATAAAACCAAAATTGTGCAAAGATTGTGCTTATCAAAACAGTGGATTAGGGCCAAAATATGATTATTTGACCATTATTAAATGGATGGACGAATCATTTAGTATTGTCATCAAGATACTTTTATCCCTTTGGAATACGAGTTTCAGCACCCAATCTCAGATTTGGTATTTAAATCGTAGCTGCTTTTCAATTGGGATTTTGTAACTTGGGTTGATATTTATTTTGATTGAAATCTTCTGTATAGTTTTCGTATGACATGATCTGAGATGAAGAGTGAATTCTGTTTGGTGAATATTTAAATGACAAAGTCTTAAGTGGATTTGAAATAGTTATGTCATAATGTGGAGGTGTGCTCAGTGAAGATGCTTTTGATGGTCCATATGTATTGGAGAACTTTGTGTCGTTTGTCCATATCTACACAATGGAGAACGATACGAGAGTCAGATATGACTTTCAGTTAATCTAGAAGTAATTTTCGGTTTAAGTAGAATGGAAGTACCAGGGTCATTAAATCCACATAGACCAACCAATTAAAATAAGATTTATACACATTAGGAAAAAGTAATTTCCCTGAAGTGACATTGCCTAATTGCCATGACAACAGGATTCCTGGAAGCATTGTCCACATTGTATGGATTTCCATCCATTCGCACTGCAGTTGTATCATGCTCTCAATCTATTAAACAAGTCTTGATAGATTAGGTTCTGATTTCACCTTTCATTACCTCCCTTTGATCCTTTGTAATTTGAACAACTGAGGCTGTTCTTGCAGTTCGACAGAATCCGAGATTTTTGTCTTCATAGCGACTAATGATCATCAGAATATTTGTATGTAGCTTGAATTTCATCAAAATGTCATCTTTCAAGAGAATGGATAGGAGAATTACAGTATTCTAGGTTACATTTGATTCTGATGAAGTCATTCCCTGAGTTAGTTTGGTTTAGAATTTCATGAAATATTAAGCCTGAGACTGCTTGTTGAAATCAATATGTGTCCAGATTTTTCTTAAGAGAATAAAGGTCTATATTATGTGAATGTATTCTTGATATGTTAGTTTAATGTTAGTTTGTGATTTATAGACTGGAAATTGTTATGTCACTATACTTTAGAACTCCATACTAGTTCCAATCCATCTGGGTATAAACCCCAGTAAGTCACTTTTCTAGGAACTTGTTGGCCCACTGGTCTACAGCACTGACTGCCAGATCTGACGGTTTAGGTTCAAATCCCAAAATTATTTCCAAAATTGATCATTTATTTGACAGCATCATGCTAGTGCACCAGAAATTCCCCAAGATGGTAAATGTGTGTGGAGATCTGCAAGTCCAAGCTTCAAATTCCAGATTTTCACCTGTTTTGATCCCTAAATGTCTAATAACTCCATGCCAAATGGTTTCACTAAAGTAGTCTATGTCTACTTCAGCGTACAGCATGTCTGGCTTGCCCCCATGTTTATCTCACTGACTGCAACAACATCCAGTTGTCCCTGCCCATCTTCATACTTTCAGCCATTTTTATTCTAATTTGTAGCCATCAATGAAAAAGTGACCTTTTCGTGACAGAAAGATAATAGTCTTGAATCATGCTTTGGGCTTGTGGCTACCAACTGTCAAGGTTTGCACAGGTTTGATAAAGTCTTCAGTTTAAATCTTGACTTGAATAAGGTCTTAAAGTTTGATAAATATATTAGAATAAGGTTTTCATCTGGTAATTGTGTGTTGACATGATGTTGCAAAAAGAAAACTTGATCAGTAAGTAAAATTGAAACACTATGTAGGGCTGAATTGAGACAGTTTAAAAACTCACATGCTTGTTACTTTGGACCTTGAGATTTGTGATCACAACTTTTAATGGGCTTAGAAAGGACTTAGTTTTGTGGCTAAAACTATGTAAGAAGCATGGATACTAGGAAGCATATACCTATCTCAATCCCATGGTACTGTAACCTGCTTCTTCACCCCAGACTGAAATTGAACTTGGAACTTTCCCTTTCTTCGGGTGCAAGACAAAATATTTTGAGCAATTCATGTTGTGGCTTGAAATCAATTTAATGATATGAGTAAACCAAAATAGAAATGAAAGGTGATAAATTGTATATGAAGTTTAATCATGTTTTTTATGAGTTATCTCCCTTCATCAAATTTAATTTGGGTATGCTGTTATAATTGGAGATAATGTTGATACCCTCTGGTAACATATTTTCTTATATTTGAATATTAATCTAGTGTGAATTTACTATATAAAAATTCATTTTATAAAAAAAAATCTTCTTATAAAATCTTTTTTTCATTGATGAATCAATATTTTTTTTAAATTCCTGTTTTTTTAAGAAGTTAATGTGTCAAATCCTACATACTGCCTTGAAAATTTATTTTCCAGCTTTATTTCATATCAATACTGAAATATCTTTATAAAAAACACATATTGAATAATAAAAGTAAACGATTTACTTTTAAGAGAACTTTTATTGACATATTACTGTTTGTAGATGGTGCCACAAGGGGGTGCCACTTGTCAAACAAATGCCATGGTGACTTGCTATTTTTATTACATAATTAGATTCAGGACACATTTTCAACAAAATGATACCAAATTTATCAATTTCTTGACATTTTGATATTTAGTATGCAAC